ACAACTTGCTCGAGTAAAGTCTATTTGATGCTCCGATAATAGTGATGGAATAAGTATATATGTCCCCTTTAAAGACATTGTATTGTCACGATTTTCTTTTATTTATTATCCAAAAGGCATTTATTCTCTAAGTATGCACCTGTTTTGTTATTCTAATAGGTTACAGTAGAAGTCTGACTTATCTAAAAGTACTTCAAGAATAAATTCCTACGATGTATTTTAGCGTTTTGGGTAACGATTGTAGCCTAACATGATCAAGCATGGTTATTTGTTGGCAGTAACATCAAAGGACGTTCAGAGATCGCGCTCGAAAGCCAACCAGAACTACTCACTTTCAGATTGCGAATACATGTATTTCAAAATAATGAGCTATTTATTAGCTTCGTTTACTCTTCGGTTTCGTTTATGAGCTACCGACCTCAGACGCAAAAGCTGATATTTATGTACAGAACGATATTTTGTTCTTCAACTGTTTGTGCCAATAGTTCCTCTTTGAACATGTGTGTACATTGAAAAAACTAATAATAAAAACAAATATTTCGGGATGGAATGAAGGTGAGAATGATGTCGAGAAAATAATATCGTAATAACCTCATCACACCGTACACCCGTATCATCAGATGCCCAATTTTCAAGTTTTACTTTTCCAAATTCTACCATTCCGCATCGACGTCCATTTTCAGACATGCCGCAGAATTATATTCGCCTAAATTGTAACTCGTGGGTTGCAGGCGTAGATCAGTTTCAATCGAGTAGACTCCAGTATTAGTGACGGGCCAGTAAGATTGTAGTCTTTGGCCCCAACGTGGAGATCCAAGTTCCTTATTAGTTCGACCTGTCCACCTCAGTAAGCGGAGTGAATCAGGTGGACGGCTGACAAAAGTGCAACCACCTTGGGACAACATATAATGCTGGATAAGATCGAGACGAATCTCACCACCCAGGCCGATCATAGCGACTGGGATGGCAGTCTCGAAGTTAGCCTCAGCGCCAGAGTCATTTCTGTCAATAAGCTTTGTGGGGCTGAGCAGATGAAGTTGTGTCTCGGTGGCCACCGCCGCCTCCATGCGAACAAGACCTCGGCCCGACTGTGTCCAGATGCTAAAGTCGGCCGCGAATGCCAAATTGGCGGTAATTGCTCCTTGCTGGTCCAACCGTAGGCTTAAGCCAGACGCCAGGCTGGTGTACACACGTGAGTCCACCGGCAGACGGCGCACATGTGCAATTCGACTCGGCTGTCTCGGCACGGACCAGGCGAGATGCATCAATTCTGTTAAACCACCCGTGAACAGGTTGTAGGGTGTTCGTGCTGTCTCAAATAGATGCAATCCACCCATCAGCCATGGCGTTTCCGACTGCGAGGAGCTGGAGGTCGCTTCGGTCTCTTCTTCTGGTGGGCCTCCGCCTAGTTCTGTGAGTCGATCGCCGACTAAACTTGCTCCGATAAGTCCAAGTTCACCCTCCTCCGTAATCAGGTTCACCGAGA